GAAGACAGGCATATGAGTTGAACATTTACCTGAGGTAGATACACTCCTTGGAGAGAACAATCATTGAGAAAGAAGGGCTGCCTATGCACAGAGAGACAGCTTAGGGGGCTGGAGTCCATGGAGGGATGGACACTGGGAAGAGGTAACTATGGGGAGGAAGTGAGAGGGGGAGCTGTTGCACTGTGGTAAATTGTGGTCAATGTCATGAGACAAAGTATATGTAAACTGCTATATGGAAAGTGAATTTGCCTGTAAATCTTCACCCAAATCACAATTAAAAAAAAAAAAAGTTTTTAAAAATTAAAAAAAAAAACAGACAAAACTGTAAGATAATGAGCAAGTGCTGATAATCAGGGGATCTTAACACCTGAGCAGTGAGTCTTGACGGAAGAGTAAAAGCCAACCCAAGAAGTGTAAAAGAGCCACTCTAGACAAATGCAACATCAAAGAGGCGTGGCCTCTTTGGGAAAAAGCTTGGCTGGAGCACAGATAATGAATTGGAGGAGTGTTATAACAAAAAAACCAAAGTCACTGCCGTCAAGTCCATCCAATTCATAGTGACCCCGCCTTGGGTTTCCGAGGGAGTGGTATAAGAAGTGGAAAGGAGTAGGCAGAAAACAATAATGAGATACCTCTTCTAGCACTGATAGTTCAGAAACCCCAAAATTCCTTTCTTATACCTTCATGAAATAAATTTGTTCTTTTTCACTCATTTGCATGTAAGTATCATATCCTTCTTTGCTCTTCTTTGGCTCTTCCTCCATAAATATTTCTATTGATACACTGCTGTGGCTTGTAAGATGTGGCTTCTGTTCTCTTACCACCTTAGACATGGTCTTTTGGGTATAGTCCCAGTGGTCAATGTGTCTTTTACAGTATAACTCCTCTAAATAATCTCAGTATCCCATATGTTCTCTGATTGTTGTTGTTGTTGTTATGTGCCATCAACTCATAAGGACTTCTCCTTGGATTTCCGAGGCAGTATAAGTAATTGCCTTCCTCAAGTGGAAGGCAAAGGTCACCAAAACAGGTTGGACCAACATTGTGTGTTGTTTCTTATCTCCTGCTGATTCTCACCTGCTTAAGGTTTTGGAGTTTATTTATCAGTTCAGAGAGATTTTACCCTTCTATGTTTATACCAAATAATTTTGAAATTGTCCTTGAGGTTTTCATGTTCCATTTTCTTTATTTTAAATTAAAAATGTAGGTACTAATCAGACTTAGATACTTCAGGGATATAAGATGACAAAATATTAATTCTTTTCAGAGATCTGGTAAGGTAGAGATTATCCATTGTATTTTTATTTACCATGTTCTTAGGCTAAAATTCTTCAGAGTGCTTAAGTATATTAGAGAAAGGAAAACATTATTTAAACAATGTTAGGAAAGTTAGAAGACTGTCTCCACAACCCAGAAAATAAAAGTAGCATTAATTTGTTGCAAATTTACTGATTTAGCGCTGGAAAATGGAATTTCACTGACAATTCTTGGGTATTGGCTTCTACCCAAGCAAATATGTACCTGTGCTATATTCAACTTCTTTTTCTTTTTTTTAAAAAATAATGGGCTCAGCCTCTGTGGTACTAGGCCTCAATTAACCCTTTCTGTGCTCTCTAGGTGAGGTACTGAAAAACCCTACCTGAGCTCTTGGGTCAAGAAATTCATGTAAGAAACCTGTGGGCTCGGGACCATAGTAGTCTCAGGGGACATCAAGCTCAATTGGCATAACATACTACACAAAACATTGTTCCACGTCCTACTTTGGCAAGTAGTGACTGGGATCTGAGAAGCTTTGCAAGCAGCCATCTAGATGCAACGATGGGTCTCTCCTCATTCAAAGCAAAGAAGAATGAAGAAAACCAAAGATGTATGGAAACAATTAGTCCAAGCGACTGGTACACCATCTGATCCTCAGCCTATATGACTATGAGACCAGAAGAACTAGATGGTTCCCGGCTACCACTGTCAGCCACTCAGAGGGGAATCAATATAGGAGATCCTGGATAGAGACAGAGAATAATGTGGAACAAAACTCAAAATCATTTGGAAAAAAAAAAAAAAAGAGGGACTAGGTTTGCTGGTCTGATAGAGCCTGGTGGAACCACTGAGACTATGGCCCCTAGCTGCCCTTTAGGTCTGGAATTGAACCCACTCCGGTGGTTTCCAGCCAAACAAAAGACAGGCATATGAGTTGAACATTTACCCTAGGTAGATACACTCCTTGGAGAGAACAATCATGGGAGAAAGAAGGGCTGTTTATGCATAGGGAGACAGCTCAGGGGGCAGGAGTGCATGGAGGGATGGACACAGGGAAGAGGTAACTATGGGGAGGAAGTGGGAGGGGAGCTGTTGCATTGTGGTAAACTGTAGTCAATGTCATGGGACAAAGTGTATGTGAACTACTGTATGGAAAGTAAATTTGCTCTGTAAATTTTCACCCAAATCACACACACACACAAAATTCATGTAAGGAAAAATGGCAGAACAGAATAGATGACAGGGAAATGAATAGTAGTAGCTCAGGGCCAGCCTGAAAATATATAATTCAATTCATTAGCCTCTGTCTTCCCTTTGCAATGATTGCCCTGAGAGCAACCTCATATATTGCTAATGCAAGCTAGAAAACTAGTCATATCTCAAATCCAAAAAGAAGACGGACTTAGGAATGGAACTCATTCGTCATCTGGGGACTGCCTATATATAGTATGGTGTTTGCACAACATCCAAACAAAACCCAAGTGATAATCCCTTTTGCTTTCAACTTCATATGCTTTTTGCCTATTTGTTTACAGGTCATTGCTCTTTTTCGTTTCCATTTGTAGGATAGGTTGGGTATTAGCAATTAGCCTTTGGCGATATAAATTTGAAAGTTTATGAGAGATTTTTCATTCAAAAAATAAAAAAGATTTCGGCCAATTTCTGCAAAAATGCTAGAATTTTAAGTTGCTTGCTAGAGTGTCACAGTTCCTTGGCTCTTTGGAAATTTGGCAATATTAAGAACAATACGTATATATATTTTTTATTAGCAATAACCAGATCACATTTTATTGTATTAAATAACATTCTATATATGGTTGCCAAGGAACTGGGGGGAGAAGGAAGTGGAGAATAGCCACTAATGAACACAGAGGTTTGCTAAATTTGTTCTAAAATTAATAGATGCTAGTTGTACAACTCTGGATACACTAAAAACAGCTGATTTGTACATTTTAAATGGGGGAAATGTGTGGTATATGAGTTATATTTCCAGAAAGCTATTATAAAAAAAAAATAACCATTTTATAGCACATACCTTACAAAAAGATTACCAAATCCTAGTCAATGCCAATTTATTTCAATACTGTATCAACGCAATAAAAATCTAATTCTATTTTTTAAAATTGTAGCATTAGTTGAAATGGGATTCAATTTCTGTTTATAAGATTGCTGTAAATTATGGAAATATAGACAGATGCTTGACATATTTGACCATTATATGTGACCAATTAATGCCTGCTCTTGATAGGCTGGGGAAGGGTACCTGGAGTGGTTCCCACAGGATGATGCATTGTGCCAGAATGATGATAGCCTGATTGGATAATTTCCAGAACTGGATTGGATGATACAGTTCTGTGGCATGGGCTAAACTCTTACTAGATCTGAACTCCTTGATTACTTCTGAGTTGCTAATGGTTTAGTCAGTAAAACTGAGCGACACAAATCATTTGAGGCAACACACTACAGATACATGGATTTTCAGAAATGTGTCAATACATCACATCCATTAAGATGTGGACAATGGCACATTGAAGATACTGTAACCTAGTATCCATAACTCCTTTATATATTCACTGGTATATTCAGACTTTATGACCACCCTATAAATCAAACCTGTTGCTCTCAAGTCTATTCCAAATCATAGCAACCCTATAGGATAAAGTAGGACTGTCTCATAGGGTTTCTAAGACTGAAATCCTTATGGATGCAGACTGCCACATCTTTGTCCTGCTGAGTGACTAGAACAGCTGATGCATTTGAATCACCAACCTTTTGGTTAACAGCTGAGCACTTTCACTACTGTGGCACAAGAGTTCCTTATAGGGACTATAAAAAACTAAAAAACTCATTGCCATCGAGTCGATTCTGACTCACAACCACCCCATTGGGTTTCCAAGGCTGTAAATCTTTACAGTAGCAGACAGTCTCATCTTTCTTCTGGAGAGCAGCTGGTGGGTTTGAACCACTGACCTCTTGGTTAGCAGCCAAATGCCTAAACCACCACACCACCAGAACTCCTCATAATGACTATAAACCAAAACTGAACCCACTGCCATTGTGTCGATTCTGACTCATAGCCACCCCCATTGGGGTTCCAAGGCTGTAAATCTTTACAGAAGTAGATTGCATCATCTTCCCATGGAGCAGCTGGTAGGTTTAGACTGCTGACCTACTGGTTAACAGCCAAATGTCTTATCTACCAGAGCTCCTGTACAGGGACCTGTAATTTCTTCAGGGTCATTGAGTTGTAAAAACATGGTAGAAATTATTTTGATTTTTCAAACTATACAAAGTAGTTTGGGAGCTCTGGTGGCATAGTGTCTAAGGCATTTGACTGCTAACCAGAAGGCTGGCAGTTCAAACCCACCAGCCACTCCTCGGAAGGAAGGTTGGGCAATCTACTTCTGTAGAGATACCGCCTCGGAAACCCAAGGAGGGGTTGCTATGAGTAGGAGTAGTTTCCTTTTCTTTGGAATCTTGGATTTTGGGGAGCTCTTTCTTTGAAGTAATGATGAAGGGCTTTTCTTAATGGTATCTTAGAAAAGGTAAATGGGGTCAGAAGAATGAAGACCATAGTTCTGATAGTACTGCTACCTGTTTCTTCTTTTCCCATTGGTTTGCTCTTTATAATCTAAAAGCAGAAGAAAATTACATAGACACCACAGGCAAGAAACAGCTGAGCAACAATCCAGAAAAATGTGAATAGAGAAATAAATAAGAGATTGTACCAGTTCATAAATTTCTCTGTATTCTGGACCAAAAGCAAAAAGCTTTTGGTTTAAGTTTATTATGAGTAAATGTTTCTAAAGTTACCTATTATCTTTATCCATTTTGATTATACTTTTTAAACAGGCCCCTATATTATCTTCTTCCAAAAATGGGTCATTGTATGTGTTAAAATTGTGATTTAATGATGGATAAAATGAAGTAATCAAGGGTCACACATACAGTGTTAAAAACATAACTTGAGAAATTATCCTTTGGAGATCCTTCAAAAAAGTACCAAATTGTTTCTGTAGGAATTGTTTGTTATATAGAATTGCTGTGTAAGTATTAATAGTTGACAGTTTCAGGAATAGGACATAGAAGATGGCTGTGGAAGGACCTACAAACAGGTTAAAGAATTTCACATTATTCTGTCTGACATTCCAGACTGATGGCGCATCTGCAATGCTGATTATGGCGGAGGACAAAGCTCTGGCCATGGGCTATAAACCAAAGGCATACTTGAGGTAAAGTGAAATAGTCACATGAATTGCCTCTGACTTCAATATTTTATTGCTGGAGCTAACCCCTCTGTTTTTTTACCTAGGGATTTTGTGTATGTGTCTCAGGATCCAAAAGACCAACTTTTACTTGGGTAGGTAGCAGTATATACCCTTGGACTATATAATCAGAAGTATTAACACTACGTAAATTATTGACAGTTTTTACACAAACTTTAAAGTAACTTTAAAATTTTAATAATTGGGTTTTTTAAATTTTTTTCAATAATAATTCTTTATGGCAGTATATCATTTTACAGTTTTGGATTATTATCCATTTCTTCCTGTGTATTTTTTTTTTCCTTATAATATAGATAGAATTTTGTCTTCTGCTTTTTTAATGAAGATTCCATAAGCATTTTTTCCATATTGCTACATATTTCCTTCAAGGTAGCCAGCACCTTTCTCGTGCCTTACCCTTTGAACTCTGCGTTCTGCTAGCTCTTTACATCATTAGCTTGTCCTTACCCTTCAGGTTTCAGGTTGAATGTCCTCTCAAAGGAGACTTCCCTGACTACCCTATGAAAAGGGGCCTCCCTTTGTTACACTCTGTCTTGCCTCTTTGTTTACTTTGCCCATGACATTGTTGATCACAATCTATATTTATCTTGTTTGTTCACTTGCTAATTGTGTTTACCCAACTCTAGAATATAAATTTCTTAAGGGCGAAGCCATATTTGTTCAATTCATTTGTTGTGTCCCAACACTTACTAAATGTTTGTACAGTGAAGTGAGTGAATGGAGGACATTATCATATCTGTGTAAAACTCAGTTTGAGGAATATGAAGACTGCTTAAAGTGTTAAGATATTTCTTTTTTTTTCTTCTTTCCCAGACCAACATATGCCACTCCAAAAGTTCTGGAAAAGGCAGGATTAACAATGAGTGATATTGATGCTTTTGAATTTCACGAAGCTTTCTCAGTAAGTCATTTCAAAGATACATCAAAGGACTGTCATCATAGTAAATGTAGTCCATGCTTGTGGGAGAGAACAAGACATAGTTTATGAATAAATAGAGGTGGAACTTTACATTTTAAGGATAACTGACCTACATTGCTGGGAGAGGTGCAGGGGAGGCAATCAAGTTTCACATGTACAGTGTTGAAAACATAACTTCAGAGAATATCTCTTGGAAGGCCTTCAAAAAAGTACCAAATTGTTTCTTTAGGAAATTTTCTCTGAAAACTGATTTGAAGATTTGCTGAACTTTAAAGAAAGCCTACAGGGACATTAATAACAAGATCTTTATTGAATTATTTTCCCTTCTAGGGCCAGATTTTGGCTAATTTTAAAGCCATGGATTCTGATTGGTTTGCACAGAACTACATGGGTAGAAAAACCAAGGTAAGTTTCTGATTAAAAAATATGCTAGAATTTCCAAAGCACATTAATTAATATTGGAGCTTAGTTATCTGCTAATAAGAATATGAAGGGGAAAACATCCCCTTCTTAAGAAGAATTTATGTTTCATTAAATCTGATTACTTCTTAAAAATGATTACTAGAAATTCTTTAGCAAAAGTGGAAGCAGAATTTCTAATTGGCTTGTCTTCTTTACATTCTGATGTTAGATGAAAAATAAATAGACCTTTGACTTTCAGAATTGACCCAAAGTCTTTTTCTTTTGCAATAAAATTATTTGCGATGTTTCTGAAGTCAGTTATTTCCCAACATCTCTGTTAGTTCCTATGACAAAGAGCCTGGCCTGATTCTTTTTTTTTTTTCTTTTTTTTTTATTAGGATTTGGGTGAAGATTTACAGAGTAAATTCACTTTTCATACAGCAGTTCACATATACTTTGTCTCATGTC